CAGAGTGCTAGGATTACAGATGAGAGCCACTTTTCTTTTTTTTATTTCATACTGTTAAATTAAAGTGTTTAGTCAATTTACTTTTTTTTTTTTTTGAGACAGTCTCACTATGTCACCCTGGGTAGAGTGCCTTGGCATCACAACTCACAGCAACCTCTAACTCTTGGGCTTAAGCAATTCTGTTGCTTCAGCCTCCCAAGTAGCTAGGACTACAGGTGCCCGCCACAACACCCGGCTATTTTTTGGTTGTAGCTGTCATTGTTGTTTAGCAAACCCAGGCTGGATTCAAACCACCAGCTCTGGTGTATGTGGCTGGTGCCCTAGTCGCTGAACTACAGGCACCGAGCCTAGTCAATTTACTTTGAATAAACTATTGAAGCCTGGTACAGTGGCTCACACCTGTAATCCTAGCACTCCGGGAGGCCAAGGCGGGTGGATTGCCTGAGCTGACAAGTTGGAGACCAGACTGAGCTGGAATGAGACCACATCTCTAAAGATAACCAGGCGTTGTGGCGGGCACCTGTAGTCCCAGTTACTTGGGAGGCTGAGACAAGAGAATAGCTTGAGCCTTAGAGTTCAAGGCTGTTGTGAGCTGTGACGCTACAACACTATACAGGGGGCAAAAAAGTGAGACTCTATCTCAAAAAAAAAATAAAAAACCACTACTGATATAGTTGGATTTAAGTCTATCAACTTGCATCCATTTGATTCTTTTTTCTTCTTTTTCTCCTTTTTCAAAAATTCATCCACAGCGGTGCCCATAGCTCAGTGAGTAGGGCGCCAGCTACATATACTGAAGGTGGAGGGTTCGAACCCAGCCCGGGCCAGCTAAAACAACAATGATAACAGCAACAACAAAAAATAGTCAGACGTTGTGGAGGGCGCCTGTAGTCCCAGCTACCTGGGTGGCTGAGGCAAGAGAATTACTTAAGCTAAGGTTCTTAACCTGTGGGTTGTGAGCCACAGGAACTATATTAAAGGGTTGTGGCATTAGGAACCCAAGAGTTTGGGTTTGCTATAAGTTATGATGCCACAGCACTCAACCCATTGTGACAGCTTGAGACTCCGTCTCAAAAAAAAAAAAAAAAAATCCACAATATACCATCGTTTTATTTACTATAAACAATTATCTTCCAAAGAAATGAAAGAATTCTTCAAAGGCTTTCATATTTCTGGTGCTTTTAATTTTTCATGTAGATCTAAGTTCCCACCTGATATCATTTTCCCTCAGCCTAAAGAATTTCCTTTTTCCTTTTTTGGGTTTTTTTTTTTTTTTTAAGAGACAGAGTCTCAGTTTATCACCCTCAGTAGAGTGCTGTGATGTCACAGCTCACAGCAACCTTCAGCTCTTGGGCTTAGGCGATTCTCTTGCCTAGGGCCTCCTGAGTAGCTGGGACTACAGGCACCCGCCACAACGGCCAGCTATTTTTTGGTTGCAGTTG